TTGTCTAAATTCCATTAACCACTGCTTCTTAAGACTACCTCAAAAGAAAACAAATGCCAAATTGGGTGAATGTGCAGCGTACAATCACATTATGAACAATCACATTTTGTTGGAATTACTTCTCTGCTAAGATCAAGACTGCATCAGCAAACAGCTCTCCTGTGAAAATTTCAGGTCCCTGTCATCTTTATTCCCTCAATTCCCCTCCCACTTTTATGTTCTGCACCAGGAATTGATGCCATTCTCAAATTTTTATTGTTTTGTCAGAGTCACATACCCCACATTTTCTTTTCTTCTACAAGTATAGCTGCCAAGCTACTGTCTCCTTGCAGCTGGGAAGCTCTTTCCTGCACTTGGACAATAATAAATGAGTTGGGAGGGAAGTCATATTTTTCCTTTGGCCCCCTAGGATGGTTAAGCCAGTCAACAATACATTTAAGTCAGATCACCTTTAGCCAAAGATAAAAAATGTACAATCCTTCTTTTAAATAGGTAAATCATCTGTGGGATTCACTCTCATTTCCAGGAAGATTCCTACTTGCAAATATTTCTAGGGAAAGAGTTTCTCAGCCTCCATTCCTTGGCTTAATCCAGATCATTTTCCTCCTACCTCCATCTTAGAGTTCATTATTCCAGTCAGTAGATTTGCAATTATCCACTATGTGGAGAGAAAGTAAAGCAAGATAGCCTGGCAACGCACCAAATCCATTACAGAACTCAACTCTGTGGAGGAAAGGAGAGGGGGCAATGGGACTATGAAAAGAATGTGCTTCTCCCCAAACTCTGAGGCATACTGGTTGCCAGATCCCAAAGCGTCCGTGGTTCTGACTCCCTCATCCTGGATCTAATGTCTGACTTCCTAGGGCAGGAGGCAGACCTGCCTAATCCTTTGCTCTCCCTCCTTATTCCTACAAATTATTTTGTTTTCATTTTTACCTCGAAATAATTTCACACATGCAGAAAAGTGGCAAAACTACCGAGAACTGCATGCACCATGCATTCAGCCTCCCACAAAGCGCGCCTGTTATCACGCATGCTCTATCATTCTTCCTGTTACGTCATTCTTCTTTCTGAAGTATTTCAGAGTGACTTGCACACATGCTGCTTCTTGCCCTGAAATGACTTTCCGTATGTATTTCTAAAAACATTTTTCTAAAAACCTTAGCACTTATCTAAAAAATTGGGAAGTTAACATTGGTAGAACACTATGACTGTTTCTATGTGCACATATTCAAATTGTGCCAGTTGTCAGAGTAACAACTTTTATGAGGAAAAGGAAAACAAATTCCCTAGCCAGGATCGCACATAGCACTTAAAGGTCATGTCTAAACTTCTTGCATCTGAAATAGTAGCCGGTTTTCTTTTTGTCATTAAAAGTACAGACTGGTTATTTTATAAAGTGTCCCTTAGTTTAAGTTTGATGTTTACTCATCATTAGAACAAATTGTTTGCTATTCCCTTTCCCCTCTAGATTTAAAGAAGATTTTTCATTTACTTTTAGTACTTTAAATTGTTAAAAGACAGAAAATACAAAGGATGAAATAATGAAGACATATTTATTTCACTTTGGGGGAGGTTCTAGGAATGGACCCAGGGCCTTGTGCTCGTTAGGCAAGTGCTCTACTACTGAGCTACACCCTCAGCCCTTTTCTTTCCTTTCAAGGTAAAACTATACAGGCAAAAGAAACCTTAACCAATCGCCTGAAATCCGTTTCCCACACACAGTAAACAGGACCTTCTATAACCTCCCTTGAAATCCTTGGCTCCCTGTTCTTCCACTACAAGGCCAGACTCCTAGCTCTGGCAGACAGACTCTCCTCAATCTGGTCTTTCCTCTCTTCTCCTATATCGTAAGTCTCCTCTTGCCCCAACTCCATGGTTAATTCCAACCCAGCAAACCCTTCCTAGGGCATGGAAAAAAGACAGTGCAGCAGGAAACCTTAAAGTGGACTTTGTGCAGACACACAAAAACAACTAAGGTAAGCATAAAACAACAAAAATTAACACACAGTTACAGGCAGAAAGTGCAGGTCTGAAAATCAGCACAACACCCGTGGAGAGACCTAGCACCAGACTCTTCACTTCAAGTGTATTTTCTATTCATAAAATAAGGTGAACAGGTACAACACAGGGCTCTTGTGATGACCAAGGGTCAGTGTGCATCCGTTCAGCATACAAATGCCCATACATATGTGTGCTGTATGCTTTTATCCTTCTCTACTTAATGCCTGGCACTTAGGAGGTATTTTAACAAATGTCACTTCCTTTTCCTGCTCATTCTTTCACACTCCACTTTCCTCCAAACTGAAGCAGATCAGAGGTTATGTGCTTCTGACAAAGGTGTGACCCAGGCCAAAGGGTCACAGCTACAGAGATGGTCCCAGGCTCCCCAGAGGACTCCCCTCAACACCAAGCTAACTAGTCTTCTCTCAAATTGCATGGTACATTGAGCAGAGCTAGGCCAGGTAACCATTTCCCAAAATGTCCCCCCCAAGAAGATGATGGCATTTAGGGTGCTGCTTGTGTCTCAGTGAACATTACAATCTAGAACTGGTGACATAAATTAAGTTTTATGGTCATACGGCAAAGGAAAACTCACTATAAGATCTACAAGCTCGCCAAAAATAGGCATTTAACCCCATCTTATCTATAAACATAAACATCAAGAGAAAGAGAGGTGTCAATTTTGCAGCTCTGAAGTCTAGGAACAAAGTAGGTTATTACATGGATTTGTGAGAATTCTATCTAAAGAAAACAAGAGAATGCCTATTTAACCAAATTTGGTGAGTGACATCAGTAGCCAAATGTCCACCTATGATGCACAGGCTGATATACACGTAATGACACTTGAGACAACTGGCTTTTTAGAAGGAAATATACGTAATGTGTTTCATCCACAGTCTGTGTTCATAAGCCAGAGGTATATAACAGTAAGAGTCATCCCTAAAAACCCTGTTTTATTTTATTATTTTTGTTTATTTTTATTAGTACCTGCTTGCAGTACATCGTGATACATTCATTATGGGGAACTGAAAGGAGATAAAAAAGATTCTGTATTTTAAATGAAAGAGCTGCCATAGTTTGGTCCATAGTCATAGTAATGAAGATTCTTTTTCTTCTTTTTAAAAATTTCATTAGTGTGTTTCCAATGCATATTAAATATATTCGTCATGGGAAACTGGTACATGTACATACTGCATTTTGATCCTTTATACTTCCCTTCCCTCTCTCCTCATCCCCAGATCCCTTCCCATCACCATAAAGTCTATCTCTCTGCTTCTTATCATCTATCTTTTACTTTGCTCTTTAAATTATTTAGACTTTAGGTTTCTCATATAAGAGAAACCATGCAATATTTAACCTTCTGTGTCTGATTTATTTCACTTAAGAGTATGATCTCAAGGTGCATCCATTTTCTTACAAATGACTCAAACTTCTTTATGGCTGAGTAGTGCTCTATTGTGTATAAATATCACATTTTCTTTATCTATTCACCGGTTGATGGGCATGTAGACCACTTTCAAGTTTAGCTACTCTGATTTGTACTGCTATAAATATTCATTGCATCAGAGGTGACAGAAAAACTATGAAATAAATGAAATTTAACATTCTGAATGAGAAATGTATTAACAGTGTAAGCTATGTGTAATGTTAACTTTCAGAAGACACCATTCTGTGTACCCAGAACAGAGACTAATTCACTGAAGAACAAACTCTGTTGATTATTGAATTGTTAATAAAATAGAAAAGAAAATGTATTAGAATTCATTTGAAGTTTATCTTGTTCTTTAGAGACTGAGGCTACATAGAAGCATTGATATTTTCCTACCAAAAAGACATTTAATATGATGATTTTGAACTAAAGTAATTCATGCTGCTATTATTTCTTAGGTTTATTTCAACAGAACTTGTCTCCCCTTCAAGTAAATAGTATTTATAACTCATTTTAATTGCTCAGAAAATAATGTAGACACAATCACAAAATTATATATATAACTGTAAAACAGAAATTATTTCTCAAGTATTTGAAGTTAGATTAAAGCCAAGTTTTCAAATGATTGATATCTAAGATACATAGAATTTTAAGGATTAAATAAAGGGTCAAAAACCAACAGAAGCCTGAAATTAGTGGGGAATGTCATAAATATCCCTAAGATTATTTTAGAACATATTAAGATACATCACTGTTTTTAAGAGAAAAAATTTTAAATTGCACATATGAAATATGAAAATATACTCCTGTCAAACTTGCAATGTGTTTAAATTCTTATGAGTTTCTTACTTTACATTATCAATTTAATCTGTTCCCTCCTAAAATAATATATTAGAAAAACACAATAAATTTTTAAATTGGTGAAATTACTCACTTAAAACTCAAAACATTTTCAAGAATAGTAATTTATTTACCTATCTGCCAAATCTTGGGTTTATTTACCAATATGATCATAGAGCTTTAGTCCCTTAAGGTTCATTAATTTGTTTGATACAAGAAAAGATGGCAGAATCACAGTAAAAGACTATGTAGATTAGAACCTCAGTTTCATAACTCACCAGCTAATTGATCTTGAACAAGTCACTTACTCTCTCTGTACCTCAGTTTCCTCATCTGAAAAATGGGATAATCACAGTCTTTCTCTCATGGGATTGTGAGGACTGCAGGTGTTAATATGGGGAAAGTTCTTAGCAGTTTCTAGTAAACACTAGGCACTTAATAAATTCTAGCTGTGGTGATTACTATTACAACAGAATGATTCAGAGAACTATAACTCCTGAAATCTTCATGACATTCCCCAGCATTGTGGGGGCTTTTGCTATTTTCCTTCTTTTTCAAAAACTCAATTTAAAAAATGCAATTATACATAAAAACCAACTGCATCAAAATATACAAAATTTCAGTGATTATGAATAATTCCAGGAGATCTATTTTTACAATGCAGTGCCTATAGTTAATAATAATGTATTGTATTTTTGAAAAATGCTAGAGGTTCTCACCACAAAAATAACTATGTGAGTTAATGCATGTTTATTAGCTTGATTTAGTCATCTTAATATATACATCATCTTATACATGATAAACACAATTTTATCTGTTAATGAAAAATAATTTTAAAAAGAAAACTAATTCCAGGAGGAATACATACATCAATATGAAAGGTCAAATGACAGAACACTTACTAATATAGAGAATATTTTCATGATTTGGGGTTAAGGAATGATTATTAAAGGAGTCGTAGTCATTAAGGAACAGATTAGTATACTGAAGAAATTTTATACACATATTAAAATACAATATCACAGATGAGTGAAGGCAGAAGGGAGAAAGTATTTGCAACACAAATAATTGACAATAACTTATTCAGAATATATAAAGAGCTCATGCAATCAATATGAAAAAGGCAACCCACACAAAGGAAAATTATATGAAACTTCTTGCTGGAAAACTTTACATTTCATCCTCTGGGTCATGTTCATCACTGCTCTGAAAATGTACTGATTTATATCCATAACTCTCATATGCGTATTGTAAATATAAGGGGAACTGTGATCAAATATTCTAATGCACTACTGTTAAGTGGAGAGCTCCTCAAAAAAAAAAAAACTACCCATAAGTTAAATCATTTGGCATAAACAAAAATCAGCCTTCTCACTCTCTACGAAAATACCACAAAATCTAAAATTCTACGTGAATCATTCATTTTGGGGCATTTTCCTTAACAGGAGAGAGTAACCATGAAAAGCCATTTAGGCAAGAACACCAAGGAAAACTCATCATGTATTTCTCCAGACTTATTCAAATCATTAAAAAAACATGAGGGGCTGGGGTGTGGATCAGTGAAGAGTACTTGCTTAGCATGCAGAAAGCCCTAGGTTCCATCCCCAGCACAGAAATGAGAAAGAAAACAATCCTTACTCATTTCTGAGTCACTGACCACGGAGAAATATGTTACACTTTGAACCAAGATCCTAAGTACTGCAATTAACTCTAAAATGTCCTACAAAATCACCCCATGGCTCCTGCCTCGTGGTATAGCCCTGAGTGTGGCTGTACCTAGTAATTTGCTCCCAGTGAACAAAACACACCAATGGTGACAGGGTGTCATTTCTGAGATTAGTTGCATAAAGACTCTGGCTTCTGTCTTGCTGATCCTCTTGTGCTTTCTCACACGTGTGATTCGATGAAGCCACGGCCACTTGGGGAGCTGTCCTGTGGAGAGGCCCATGTGGAAAGCAACAGAGGGCAGGCTCCGGTTAGCAATCTTCTGGGGACTCCAGCCTGCCAACAGCCACATGACCATGAGCCTGGAAGAGCATCCTTCCCAGCTGAGGTTTGAGATGACTGCAGCCTTGGCTGACACTGTGATCACTGCTCTGAGCCAGAGGACACGGCTAAGTTGAGAGACAACTGTGAGAAAATCCATGCACTCTTAAGGCATTAAGTTTAGGGCAATTTGTTGTAAGGCATATAGCTAGCCAATATAAGATGTAAGTATCTCCTAATATAACTTACTGAATAGCTACTACATGCACAACATTAAAATCTATTTTTTTCAGTTGAATGAGGAAGAGATGGCTCCTTCCTTTTGTACCCTTGAAGACAAACCCAGATGCAAAAATATATTGACAATATTTAAGAAGTAGTATTTGCTTCTTATTGCCGCTGCAACAAGTCACAAGCACATCACTTTGCTTCTATTGTCACATGTCCTTCTCTTGCTCTGACTCCCTTGTCTCCCTTTTATACGTACACACTCTGATAATGACATTGTGCCCACCTAGATTACCCACTCTAATCTCTGTGTGTTAGTCGGTTTCCTATTACTGTAACAAAATACCTGTGGCAACTTAAAAACAGGAAAGTTTATTTTGGCTCATGGTTTGAGAGGTTGTGGGTCACAATCGACTGACTAGGTTGCTTTGGGGCTTGTGGTGAAGCAGTTCATCCTGGTAAGAGTGCATGGCAGAAAAGGCTGCTTACCTCATAATAACCAGGAACCAAAAAAAGAGAAAGAGAAGGGGCCAAGGTCCGAACATCCCCTTCTAAAGGCCATCCACAATGACTTGCCTTCTTTCCATTAGGCCCGACTCCTTAAAAGCTTCTCCCACCTCCAAATAGTCACAGACTGAGACTAAGGCTTTAACACATGGGCCTTCGTGGACACTTATTCAAACCCCAGCACTTCCCATCTGCAGAGCCTTAATTCAGTCACATCTGCAATGTGCCCTTTGCCCTGTAACATTCACAGGTTCTGGGGGTTGGGTTATGACCATCTTGAGGGTGGGGCATATGTTTTGTCTACCACAGAGGGATAAACTGCATGTTCTCTAAAACAATTTTGTCTGTTGATCTATATATCCTGTTAAGAAAAGTATAGGTGAGGAAAGAAAAAGACTCACAAAACAAAATTTTTCCACATTAAACAGTTCATTTTTAACATTCTACCTTATGCTTTTAAGTACCCAGAAGCAGATGTATTGTGAAGGAAGGTGGCTTTTGAGGGTCAAACTTCGATGCAGTCAGTCAGAAGACAAAGGGGACATGAGGAACCGAACACATAAGTTTCTTGGAAAATATTGATATTTTTCCTAGAAATGTAGAATTACGTCCCTCACAATGAATGGTAACAGTGTCATCTGTGCATCAGCTAACAGCAAGAAAAATCAGATTGGCTTGCAAGACATGGTAGAAGTGACTGCATTTAAAAAACTAAACCCTCCTTGTTCTTATTTTAGCCAAGAGTTAATATGAAAAACATGCGGCCAGTGTGAAAGGAATCTGGTACTGTCAGAGACTCGACAAATTGGATTCTTTGTCAGTGATGCGCCATTCAGCTCAGTTCCTGATATCAACTGTCTTCCAGATCATCACTGCATGAAACATCTGTTTTCTGCAAGATTAGCACAACTCCACGGAAACATGCCTAGCCTGAAGGAAATAAAGACATGGTAAATTCGATTCTAATACTACTCATGGGAAGGAATTCAGATAAAACCTAGTCTGATTCATGAAAAATGTTTCCAAGCTCCCTTAACTGGATTTCTCTTGCGACACAGGCGTTTTCTTGATATCACGGATGGGAAGGTAGCAATGTATGCTTCTGTCTCTATCCAATGAATCTGTTGTATCCAATGATATAACCAAGCCTACATTAAATTAGACTGCAAAGCTTATGCCAAAAGCCAAACATAAACCAGACACCCATGTCAAATCCCTTTACCATGAGTAACAAAATCATCAAAATATTATGACAAAATGATGTCCAGGATCCAGCCAATGGTTCACACAGTTCAAGGAATATTTGATGCAAAACAGCATCCCAATAAAATGAATTTAGACAGTCCTTGGAGATTGTAGTAGAACTGGATGTGGCAATGTGGTTTTTAAAAGAAGACAAAGGGTGACCTTGATTTAAATGACTTCATAGTAAAATTTATACAGCATAAGTTTACATCCAGTATGTTTGATTAAAGGCGGCCAGGACTGTTAAATGTGCAAATAATAAGTGTTTTATAATACCTAATACTTAAGTTAATTATCTGTCTGGCAATGGACCAGTAAGTCTCAAACTTTGAATTTGTCACCTAATTCAATGGAAATGAGAGAGAGAGAGAGAGAGAGGAGAGAGAGAGAGAGAAAGAGCGAAAGGGGGACAGAAAGAGAAAGCTCATTATAACCGGAGGTGATGTCTTAGAAAAGACAGGCTTTTGATTCACAGCTAGGTTTATAATAGACTCAGTTAAAGCAAGTTTACAGAGACTCAACACTAACGTGCATTTCTAAGGTAGTTGCTTTTGTATCCCTCCAAAAATGCTTTTGAAAACAAATCTCATGTTTAAAATTCATTATGACAAAATAAAACACCAGGACAGATTTGTAAATGGATGCCTCTCATGAGGCAACATAGGGTGATGGCTGAAAGGAAACCACGAATAAGATGAACCATATTCTTCCTGCAAGGGGCTCAAGAGGAATCTACTTTCCTATGCTGCCCTTAGAAATGTCACTGCCTCTTTGGATTACCACCTGGGAATGTTGTTTAAAATGAAACATTCATATACCTGGTGACCATCTCTGTCCTACAAAATAAATCTGTCCTACAAAAATATATACCCCACAGGAAGACAGATGTACAAAAGTGTTCGGTGCAGACTAGTTTTCAGTACCTGAGCCCTAGGGAAAAAGCTAATGATCATTGTTAGGAAATAATTAAATCTATTGCAGTAAACCATGAAGGAGAATATCACTGTTAAAAGGAGCCACATATAGATTGGGAAGGGTTTCCATGAGGTTTTGTTCAGTCAAAAAAGTAAGATGCAAAAAAAGTATTTAATATTGTTCCATTTTAATAAAACAATGACAAAATAATCCTATATTTATATATCTGCATGCACATATATGTTAGTGTAGAAAGAAGGGTGGAAAAAATACAGTACGATGTAATCCAAAGATGGATCTGGACTGTATACTAGATCTGGGATATATAAAGAGGGGTGCTGGTAGGGGATGAAGGAAAGATAGGGATTGGAGGGAATCAAACATCAAAAGTACAAGTAATCTCTCAACAAAGAAAAACCCAGGACTGCATAGATTCACTGCTGAATTTTACCAAACCCTTAAAGGAGAATTAGCACCAATGCTCCTCGACCTATTTCATGAAACAGAAGGGGAGGAATATTTCCAAATTCATTCTGTGAAGCTATTCTCACCCCAATACCAAAAACAGATAAGGTCACAACAGGGAAACTACAGACCAATATCCTTAGTGAACACAGATGCATAAGTACTCAATAAAATACTCTAAAGTTGAATTCCACAACACATTGAAAATATAGTACATGATGATCACATTGGTTTCATTCTAGGGATTCAAGGATAGTTCAACATATTCATACCAATGAATGGGAAACACCACATAAATAGGACCAAGGACAAAAATCACATGATTATCTCAACAGATGCAGAAAGGGCAGTTGACAAAATTCATCATCCCCACGAAGTATAGAAGGATCTTACCTCAACATAATTAAGGCTATCTACAAGAAACCCATACCAGTATCATACTGAGTGGGGGAAAACTGAAAGCATTTCCTCTAAAGTCAGGATCCTGACAAAGGCGTCCACTCTCAACTCTCCTGTTCAATATAGCACTTGAAATTTTAGCCAGAGCAATCAGCCAAGAGACAGAAAATTTAAAGAGATACAAATACAAAAGGGGGAAATGAACTTATCCTTATTTTCAGATGACATGATTTTATACTTACAAGATACTAAAGACTCAGGCAAAAGACTCTGACTACACTGAGATTCCATCTTACCCCAGTCAGAATGACTATCATCATTAATACAAAGAATAATAAATGCTGCCAAGGATACGGGGCAGGGAAGGAATTCATATAGTGAGTGGGAATGTAAATTAGTACAGCCTCTGTATGGAGGCTCCTCAAAAATCTAAAAACAGAATTACCATATGATTTAGCTATACTACTTGGCATATGCACAAAGGAATGAAAGTCATCCTACGACAGAGATATCTGCATCCTAATGTTTAATCCATCACAATTCACAATAGTGAAGTTGTGGTATAAACCTGGGTGCCCATTAACGAATGAATGGGTAATAAAAATGTGGTCACATACATAATGGTGTATTATTCAGCCATATAGAAAACTGAAACTGTCATCTACAGGAAAATGGATGGAACTGGAGATCATCATGTTAAGCGAAATAAGGCAGACTTGGAAAGACAAATGTCTCATGTTTTCCCTAAAATGTGAAATCTAGAAAACAAAAAGATGACATGAATGTAGAAGGGGGATTATGATGCTAGAGAAAAAGAATGAAAAGCGAAGAGGAGGGCAAGTGAGCTCAATAGGGGGATGTATCCGATCAAAGTAAGTTATATGCATGTATGAAAATGCTACAGTGACACCCGATATCCTGTATAATTAATATGCATTAATGAAATATACATATGAAAAAATAGAAGGAAAAAGCACTGCATACAACAGTATGGCACACTCGTCTTGCAAATCTCACATAAAAACCAAGAATAAATTATAGGAGCCATCTTTTTTCTGAAGTACTAGGGATGGAACCTAGGGCTTTGTGCGTACTAAACAGGTGCTTGACCACTGGGCTTCACCCCCAGCCTTAACCATTTTTTCAAATAAAAGTGACTCTAAATATTGGGAAGTTTTCTGATTAATCCTTGGATTCAAATGTTAACTTAAAGGTTATCCTTCCATAACCATACCTATATCAAGCAAAACTTGCATCTCAATCAAGTATGCATTTGTTCTTAAGTAACACAGGTCTGGATTAGCCCGAGAAACACTGTGATTTAATAGCAGCCAGAATCTCAGAAGACATGGTGTTTTACTTGCTTTCCCTTATCCGTTAAGTCTTGATGTGCCCTTGAGCAAGTAACTGATCTGTTGTCCCTTAGTTTCCACATCTGTAAATTGAGGGTGTGGGCCAAAGGTCAGGCCCTAATACTCTGTGAATTTGTCTTGATTTTCTTTCACCTTGAAAAGACCCAGAATATTTGCTAATGTAAACATAATTCAACATAAATAAATTTCGCAGAATTTTGTGCTGAGATTCAGAAACAAGCACATTCCTGGGAAAGCGTCCCTTGGTTTCTGGCTTTTCATTGCCCTGATATGATTACTGAACCCCACAACCCATCATACCTTCAGGAATAGGCTGGGAATGCTTTGCTCCTTGGTCCAACTTGAAGTCCAAATATAAGGTTGGTGTGCGAGTGTAAATCTTGGACTGAAAGAAAAAAGGGGAAGCATCAGCATTTTTCTAAGAACAAGGTTCTGCAGCTGGGCCCTGCTGTAATAAAACCAGACCCATTATATTTAGGGTTCCTCTTAAGGAAGCACTGTGAAAGCCATGTGGGCTACTAATTCAGCCCCTCATAAGGATCTTGAAATTAGAAACTTCTAGAAATTAGCCCTCTTAACTTTACAATATGGTTGACAGCTAATTTTAGGACAACAGCTTGTTGCATGCAAGACTCAAAAAACTTCCATTTTGAAATTTTAAAAAGTGGTCCATACATATTATTCTTCTCACTTGCCCTTCTTGAAAAAAAAAAGTAGTCTGCCACTGAAGAGTTGAAAAAGCCCTCAGTCTAAATGTAAGAAAGGCAAACTTTTGCAGCATTTTCCACTGTAAACAGTACCTTTGATTTCATCAACAGTTGAGCAATTTGTAATTCAATACAGTGCCATGGTGAACCCCTGGTATAAACCAAATCCAAAAGATTAGCACTGTTGCTATAAACTTTATGATGTCTCATTGTTTATCACAAAGCCCCAGTGGCTCTATTCTAATTTTTTTTAACTTAAAAGTGCACACTAAAATGAAAAAGTGGTAACACTAAACTTGAGAAGGACATGGTAGAACTGGAACTTCCACACTGCTGGTGGGATTGTAACTTGGGGCAAACATGGGGCAGTGTGTAGTACAGATGAATCTATGCGTAACCTTTGACAATCTAACTTGTACGTGTATGCTCAACAGAAATGTCACAGGCATGTACAAGAATCTTAAAAGTGGCACTATTGATAATGGCCTAAAACTAAAAAGTACCCCAGATGTCTATAACAATAGAACGGATGGATAAATCAGTTGTAATACATTTACACAGTGGACTACTATACAGCAAGGAGAATCAATAAATCCAGCAACATGCAACCAATTAGAAAAATCTTGCAAGCATAATATTAAGCAAGTGAAGGCAGATATATGATTCTATTTCTATAAAGTTCAGAACAAGGTTGTGATGGTTAATCTTGATTGTCAACCTGCCCAGATTAAGAGATGCCTAGCAGATTAGTACAGCAAACTTCTGGGTGTATCTGCGGGGATGTTTCTAGAGATGACTGCCACATAGGAGAGCAGATTGAGGGGTGAAAACCTGCTCTGATTGTGGGTGGTATCTTCCAACAGGTTTACAGCCTGGACGGAATGAAAAGGTGAAGGAGGAGGAAGGCAGTGGCCAATTGAAAGCTTGATTCCACTCTAGCAGGTGCATCTTTTGCACCACCTGTGGACATCAGACTCGGACTTCTCCAGCCTTTCAGTATGGACTCATACTAGTGACTCTCTAGGGAGCTTCCAAGCCTTCGGCCTCAGACTGGCATTGCATCCTTGGTCCCTCCAGCTCTATGGCTTCCACCTTCTTGGGCTGAGCAGCTACTGAATTCTCTGGCTTTCCAGCACACACCACAACCATAGACTATCCAGCCTCTGGTTCTATAACCGTATTTTATAAATCCCCTTTCTAAATTACATATCTATTGATTCCATTCCTCTACAGAACCCTAACCAGTGCAAAGGCAAAATTAACCTACAGTGTCAGAAGTCAGAAAAGCAGTTGGGAAGGTTAATAACTGGAAGGGTTTTTTTTTAAAAGGGGAGAGGGCTTCAGGGCCCCTAGTAACAGTCTGTTTCTTGATTTGGCTGTTGACTCCACAGTTATGTTCACTTGGTGAAAATTCTCTGAAATGTACACTTGATTTGTATACTGCTCTCTACTTACACGAGATCTTTAAAAAATTCCTCCATTAAAATATGCGATTGTAAACAGACAAAAAGAGAATCCAGAGCCCAGAATTATCCTCTATAAGGACAACAATTTGCAGAGAATAATTATGTAAGTTCTCTAAGGACATTACCATTTCTGCTTTTCTCATCATTGAATCCCTAGGGCCAATCCATGGTGTCTGTCACACAGTAGATGTCCAATAAATATTTATAGAATGATGTTTCATAGTGGAAAAAATCTCATGTATAATTATACATGTATTGATGGTACACATAGGGTATTCATCAATATATGTAGCAAAATGCCTTTCTTCAGGACAGGTGAATTTGGTATGGTCAAAGCAGATGTCTGTACAGTAAATCAGAATCATAAATAGTGTTAACTCTCAAAGGATTTTATTCCACCCTATGCATGTCTCCTTTAGAAGCTTTGGACTTTAAAATAGTCTGGTACGTGGTTTTACATGGCTTAAGTCAAGCAACATTCAAAACACCCTCAAAGACTAGAAAAGCAAAACCTTCTATACATACATAAATAAAACCAGAAAGACTGTGACATCAAATGCAACCTGAGACCAAAGATTCACAATCAATCTGATGAACGTGAAGCACACATAAACCAAGGGCAGTGCATGAGGGACACGGGATTCTCTGGGATTAGTAGGTGTGTGAGGTACCATCTGGAAAGAGATTGAAGGTTTTGATGAAGGCTTCTAAAGTTTCCTCTAAAAAGGTCAAGGGTAAATCCACACAGTATCAGATGGCTCCTTTGTTTCAGCAACATTTAGTTTCCTTTTAGATAAAAGATCCCTGTTTGGTTTAAGCGTCTTTCCCAATCTCTGCCTCAGTCACCGGGGCAGTATACATGCCTTCATCATAAAGAAGTTCTTGGCTTATTTTTACTGGCATTCTCCCAGAATGTGGACAACAAATCATCTTGAATTGGAAATTGGGAGTCTTTGATGCTAGTAATTTTTACCTGCTGACTAGCAAAACACTTATCTCCTTCTGGGGTTTAGTTCAGTCATCTGAAAATCTTGTGGGGAAACTTGCTAATACACAGTTAAATCAATTTCTGGCCTGGAGTTCTAAATCAGAAAATTAATGGGTTTTTTCCACACATTGATTTTTAAGTTTCCCTTCTGCTTTCTCAAACTGGAGCTATAGAGAAGAGAGAATGTGGCTGGGGTGGGGGAAGGCAGCTAGGGCTGTGGGAACGTGTGAGGAGCCGCTGGTTAACTCGCTCTACTCTCGCCCTCAACTCTCAGTCTTGCCCTCCAGACTGGCCCTTGTTCTTTTTTTTCCTGCCTCCAGCTGCTCGATCTAACCCATGTTTGCAAAAATTAAGTAATTTACCTCTCTAATAAGACTGCAACTGCCTGGATACTCGCACTCATGCACACACACAAACACACATTCTGCATCTATTTCATGTATTCATTTGAAAATTTTAAACAGAAACCAATGAGAGACTTTATAAAGCCACAAATGTTTCCTTCTGCCTTACAGGTAATTCACTGAATTAACTGATTTCATATTAGAGTTGTTTTCCACAAAATCTATACCCTAAAATAGAATTCTGATTCCAGTATCCTTTTTGTATTAAAAATTGAATCATCTATGATTTTTAGTATAACACAACTAGAATAATCAAGTACCCCACACCCCTAATAAATGTATATCTAGTCTATAATGAGATAAAACTCAGTTGGAAGGTATTCCCATGAGTGTGTGTGTGTGTGTGTGTGTGTGTGTGTGTATAACTTTTGAAAAGAAGGTAGGTTTTGTTTTCTTAATATTGGTCATGCGTGGTAACTCTATTGAAGTAGCAAATGGAAATTATGTTCATTTAATTCAAAGATGATAATGCCAGCCTTGAATGGACTTTGAGCAAACCTGGATTTAATTTTTCTATTACACACACTACTGATATTCAAGCATAAAGAAATATCACTGTTAGGCACATTTCCTGTTTTCTGTTGTTTTTACATATAGTATTAGAGTATTAATAGACCCTCAAAGTGGAATGAGAATTTAATTAAATCTTTCTTTTTTGGTAAAAATTTAGCTATCAATGTATCTACTTCCACAAGATTAAAATAAATTGATCTGTGACAAACTAAAACATTCCTCTACAAATCTGTTTCACCATGGACAGAACTAATGCTCTATAATTCCATCACTGAAATTGTTTTCTTTTTCCTTTTTTCTTTTTAAATAATGTCTGCAAAGGTACTAAAATCCAAAGCTATTCCTCCTTCTTCTTTCTTCCCATTTCATAATCCTCTGTTGAAGGTATTTAGGAAACTTTGCTTTAAAAGGTTTACCCTGTATTTGAAAAGTATAATGGCTTAAAATTTTATGGATCAAATATCATGCAAGGAAGCTTCTAAAATATAATTAGCTCTTCATGAGAGGGTAAGGGTAAAATTTCCTAATCTACAACAAAAGAGGTGTTACCAAGTGTAGGAGAGCTTTGCCTCTCTTTCTCCATAAATATGTCCAAATCAAATCCTTAATGAGTCTCAGACATCACTCCAATAATGACCACAAAAGAACCAAGACAAAACGAGGTCTATAAAACCACTTCCTTCCAAACCCTACCTTCATCTTGCATCCTTCAAAGACTTCCTGGTTCCCCTGGCTTTTGGTATGATATCCCTGTCAAACTGGCTTCCTTCCTCTGCTTTTATTCATAAATGTGATCTTAATTAGGAGAAGAAATTATTTCCATATGGAAGCCATGTGGCTTAAAAGCATCTTCCCAAGAAAAAGCAAAGAGCAGACCATGCTATTGTATATAAGTGTTGCGAAGGGGACATCTTTAATTTCGCCACTGCTCCTTTCACGGATAGCTGTTTGCCCAATTTTTCCCAAGTGATGCTTTTCTCACACCACTCTAGCCTTTCCTAGAAAGTGGCCACAATTTAGGTCCCATGTCAGAGCTGTAATAAATTATTTCATGTTTCTTAGGAGGAACTATTTCAAACACTATGATTTAGTGATTTTTCAGGAAATGCACTGTAATACTATAATACGTTGCTCAAGCAAATTATTCTAAGTAACTGTACTAAGGCGTGTCAACCCTCAATATGCTAGAAAAGAGTTTCTAACTGTTCACAGACACTTCCCTCCTGTTAGGCCATCCTTCTAATTTTGGATGTTATGTTTAATTGGTTTTGTGTGTGTGTTTGTGTGTCTTTGCTAACGTGTGGCAA